CCTCCCCCAAACTCCCTTGCCGCCTCTCCCTGCTCCGCCGCCCTCCCCTGCGCCGCCCTCCACCCCCTCTCGCCCCCTCTTCGCCCCGCCCTCGCTCCCCGCTCCCACACCGTCGGCCCCACATCGGCGCCTCCGCTGCGCGCCGTCGCCGCCTCTCCGCTCCAACCTCCCCCCCTCCCCTCAGAACGAGCCTGCTCCGGGCTCCACGACGGACGAGGCAGGCTCCATGACCGCCACGGCCCACTCCAACGTCTACCCAACCACCTCCAAGCTCAACATGGGCGCCTACGCCGAGCTCGCCCCCTTTGACGAGACTTCCGGCGCGACCAAGATCGGTTACCCCTCACTCGAGACGAGCTTCAGGAACGCCACGGCCCTCTCAGAGATCGATGCGGCCTCGCTGCTCTTTCTCCACTCTTGTGCGGCCGTGCTGGCGCTGCTCCTCGCGGCGTGCCTTGGGCTGCTGCTGCGTGGACAGGTCAAGAAGAAGAGGGTGGAGGGCCGCGGCCACGCAGCGATCTCCGTACCCTTGCTCTCCAGCACGCGTGCTCTCCGAGTTGGCATTGTGTTCATCTTCTGCCTGCAGGCCGCGCGCACTGAAATCTCTCGCTCCCCAATGCACCTCCTCAGCTCTCGCGCTTCACCCAGCCCTGGTGCCCAGCCCCCCCACCCCCCCACGCTCATGTTCATGTTCATGTTCATGTTCATGTTCATGTTCATGTCATGTCATGTCATGTCATGTTCATGTGTACCTCGAGGTAGGTGTGCTGGGCTGCGCCGCCTCACCCTGCGCCGCCGCCGTCCGCCTCGCCGTCGCCGCCGCCGCCTGACGTGCAGCTGCTCGACCTCCGCGCCGCCACCACGTACCAGGACTCGAGCTTGTTCGACAAGCAGGCGCCCGTGAGCGACCTGTCATACGCCGACAGCACGACGGGACGGCCGTGGGCCGAGTGCGGCCACTACACAAGCCAATGGTGGGGCGTCGACCTCGGGAGCGAGGTGTATGTGCGCTACGTGCGGCTGCAGAACCGCAACGACTGCTGCGCGGAGCGGCTGACGGACGTCGACATCTATCTCGGCTCGACGGCGGAGACGTACACGGGCAACGCGCTGGTGAAGTCGGACGTGAGCGTGTTGTCGAACGTGATGTTGGAGGTGGAGATCAACGCGTTGGGGCGCTACATCTACCTCAACCGGCCGTCTGCGGCGGGGCTGACGGTGTGCAAGTTCTACGTCTTCGCTTCGCCCGCGCCGCCGCCCAAGGTGCTGGTCCAGTTCGCCGTCACCAGCGGCTCCAGGTGCGCCGAGAGCCTGCCGTACGGCCCGGAGCCGTCCAATTTCGCGACGTCGACCTCGCCGCTGGTCTGCACCGACTGCGTCACCGACACGACCGACACGTGGGAGCAGGAGTTCTACTGCGACGGCAGCACTGGCCCCGACCTGACGCTCGAGTACAAGTTCGACACGGACCGCACGATCGGCGCCACCCTCGCCGCGGCCAACTTGGGCGGCATCCCCGTCACATGGTCCGCCTCGGGCTCGCTCCTCAGCAGCCCCGTCACCATGAGCGGCACGTGGGTCGGCACCTCGACCACCGTGTACTGGACCGGCTCCGTCGGCGCCTCCGGCTCGGCTCTGGCCTCGGACGACTTCGCGTGGATGGGCGGCAGCGGCGTGATCATCGACGGCGACCAGCAGAACACGGTCTCCGG